AAACAAATGCATCTAGAGTTTTTAACATGACAGTTAAACAATGTATGCAAATCCCCTCAAAAAAATACTAGTCAGTATTTAGTACATGGTAAATACATATAAATTTGGTTCTTATTTCTTTTCCCTCAAGGATTGTTGCTTTATTTTCACTAATGTATAAAGAGAAATATATTTTACTCTATAAAATACTGATCTGCACAGACTAAAATTCAGATTATAACAAATATTAATGCACATGTTATTCTTTCAGACACAATAACAACAAAGTCTCCAATGGAGACGTTACTGGGCCCGCTCGAGCAAATTGATGAACAACGGGAGGGCCTTTACCTTTACCTTTTTTACCTAGATGGTTGATTTATTAATTCATTTATCTGAAATTATTTCTAGAGCTAAGTTAAACAAAACAGGCAGAGATCAAATGATTGACCAGAAATTAAGCTGATGAATCTTAGTCTTTGTAAATTAGTGAGACTGAAAGTGCACTCTGAATAAAGAAAAGTAAAAAGAAAATACAAATGGGAGAAGAAAGTTTATGACCTGGGACAGGACAGGGAAGTCACAGAATTCTTCAGTATCTAACCAGACATAAGATCGAACAGTAGGAAGACAGAAAAAGACTATCAACCCAGAAAAAATAAAGTATACTATTCAGTCAGTTATGTCAACTTAAAACAGTCCAAAAGAACCTTCTGTACTATAATGAGAGATTTTGCTTTCATTAACACATACTAACCAATTTAAATTTCATTTCCAACTAGGATTTACTGGTTATATATTAAATTTAATAGCTCAATATTAACAAGCAAATGTTTCCTTATTCAACTTACAAATAAAAACTGCTCTCACTGAAATCATCTACTAATTTCAAATTTCACAACCTGACTGTTGCTCTGAACATGTAAATGAGTTATGAACAGTCTCACCTAGAAACAGAGAAGTCAGGCAAATCTCAGCTGAATGATCCCACTGCCTAGACAAGAATTCAGAATTGTCACATGGGAAATATTGGCCTACAGATTCTTTGCAGGAAGTCGGGGAGGAGCAAGCCAAGAACACGTTCTGGAACCTAACAATGAACTCAAGAAGGCTGGAGCAGACCATGGACAATCACGGGCACTCAGGAGCTCAAAACCAGGCTGTACATTTAATCTTGTATATTCCATGGAGGATCCAAGGTACCACAGAAAATAGGAAGGGGCAAGAGAGAGTCCCTACCCACATTTTCGTGGAGTTAATAGCACTATCACTGTTAAAGGAAGGAATCCGGATTTTTAAAAAAAAAATCAGGTTTATTGAGGTCGAATCTATCTAGAATAAACTGTCACTTTTCTTTAGCATACAGATTTTTTTTTAAATTTGTTTATTTATTTGACCTTTAGGGTTATACTGGCAATGCTCAATACTACTGTCTCTGCACTCAGGAATTACTCCTGGCGGGGTTCAGGGGACCATGCGAGATGCTGGGATTCGAACGCAAGTCAGCCACATGCAAGGCAAACGCCCTACCCGCTGAAGCATACAATTCTTAAGTATGGCAAATGCCCAATCCTGTTTCTTACCAGCACAATCAAAAGAAAGTATATGTCCACCCCTCCTCACAAATTCCCTCATAAAGGATTCTGCTCAATCCCAACCCCTCTCCAGGGCAAACACAGGTTGAATACTATTCCAAAGGTGCTGCCTTTTCCAGACTGTGATACAACTTGAATCTAAAGTAGGAACTTTCTGAGTCTGGTTTCTTCCATTACTCGCTATGTAACTGGCAACAAGTTCAGCGAAATGGGACAGCAAAGCAAAGGGATTAGGAACCACAGCACTGGTAAACAAGCGATTACAGAGTTTTTTCATGTACAATAAGTAGGATAGGAAGGTTTTGAGCGACTGAGTTATGTGATCTGATTGACTGAAGAACAATTCCACCGCATGGAAAATACAGGCTAGAACTGAACGTGGAAAAGGGAAACTAACTTAGAGATGACATAGCTGTCCCGGTGAAAAATATAGTAGCAAACTAGAAAGGTACCTTGGGAATATGGATTTTTTTTCTGGGGGAGTAGAGGAAAGAGATCACATCAGAGATGGAAGAAAAGAGAAGCTGGGACCAAACAAAAGGTTTAAGTGAGGGGAAGAGGCAAGAGCATTCGAAACACTGGCTGAGCAACAAGGCTGATGGTGACTTCTACCAGGAGGAAGAAAAGGGAAAGGCAGCGGCAGGGGAGGAGCAGGCTTTCAAAGAGAGAGGTGAAACCACATGCTGTACATCACCTGTGTGCCAATGAGAATGAACCGCTTCTCCCAACCAGGCTGCAGTTTTTGGATAGTTAAAACTTCGGATAAAACCCCCCTGCCTGATTACTCTTTAACAGAGCAAGTGAATATATTCTATTAATCTTACTATGTTAAATTTAAAAAAAATAAGATTCTAGGAAGGTCCATGGCTAAGGAGTGCTCTCATTTCCCACCTTCCCTTTCTATATAGATAAGAACAGCCTACAAGTCACAGGAAAAATGTCCTCTAAACCTTACCTATTTCTTATTCTCAGTTTACTTATGCCATGTGTTAACTACATTGGTGCACCTGAATCGAAAACGTTTTCAAAATGATTTAAGTTTTTCTTTCTTTAAATTTTAGTTTACCAGCATTTACAAATGAATGGGGGATTATTTAACAGTCCATATTTTCCCATTTATGCTCTTGGTATAGCGAAGATGTACTTTTGCTTAGCCAGACATTCAGGATAAGCAAGGGTAAGGCTACACAATATATAAAGCCAGAGGATGTGTTTCCTCTGCCATCTTTCCATGGGGAGCCCAACTGTCCAAGCACAAAGACGAGAAGAGGAGCCCCGAGCACCCAATTCTGATCACACACTGCTCCCACCTGCCCCTCCGACACCACCAGAGCGTGTTAGTTGTATGGGGAAACTATTCTTTCTCATCACGACTCCATCACTCGTCCATCTGTGTTTGACTATCCATCCATCCACATTCCAAAGTCTTTTTCATCTAAAACTTCTGTGTGTCCATATGCCACCTCTAATGCAGATGTGTCTGCTTCAATGTAAAAATATCTTTCTTTACCATGAAGGACATTTTACATTCCATATGGCCATAATGAAAAAGCACTATGTACAGTTGCACAAGTTGTGTATTGCACACCTTGAAGGAGGGAGTTCATACAACATAATTAGTGTGGATTTGTCTTTTCTGTTGGATGGCAGGAAAACATCTTGAGTCAAAGGTGCCTTTATCCTCTCATGGGTAAACGTGTCATACAGACTAATGGCACCCCTGGACAGTGAGAACCTCAACATATGGACCCAACAACAGTCCTGAATCAGCCCCATTACTTAGTCATGAAGAAGCCAAGTTCAAAAGAGGAGGCAGATTCCAGAGCTGCAAAATGTGAGTCCAGTGCTCATCTCTGTTCCCAACTCAGTGCTCCTTCACTGCAAAAATGTCACCTCTACAAACGGTCTGCTGCTGTTCTGAGGTGTGTGGGTTTGGGAAGCATCTGTTCATTTCTTTGCTCAGCCTAAGGAGAGATCTTTTGCAGGATGTTTGTGTCACAGTGCACCATTTTTCTCCTGTCATGAGCCGGTAATAGAAATGGGTCGAGTAGAGGCTAGACTGCCCAACATTCAAAGTGATGAAATTGCTACACTACATGCAGGAACCATCCCTGCTTCTTACCACGTATTAATAGCACCTGGCTACGTGAGACAGGACGTGTAAGACCTTTCAGCTCTAGAAGCTCTGGCTGGGCTCACCGTCGCATCCTCATTTGCAGCAAAGCACGTATCACTGCATAGCCCTGGGAAACACTGCTTGATCTTTACTCCCCTTCTGCGTCAATATGCAGTAACTGCTTATCACTCACTCACTGGCTCACTCGACCACAAGCATGAAGATCAGTTAGAGGACCCTCAAAAGGCACTGCTGCAAAGTATCTTATTCTAGCCCAACTCCCCAATTTTACATTTCAGGGACAGAGTCCCAGAGAGATGACAGAATTCATCAGCTAGCCACAGCACACATGTGCCACGGTTCGTTCCTAAATCCCTAAATTCCTAAGACTAGTTGCTCTTTTCTGAACACTATAATACCTCCCTTCACATCAACAAATGATGACTAGAAACCCAGTGTCAGAAAGGTAACCTAGCAAGAAATGCCCTGCAGAGTTACTTACGGTCCTCTTCAAGTTGGATGATAATACACATGTTTGAGAAGATGCATTGGTGAGTTTTATTCTCCTCATAGCAGGGCACCATCCCATAGAAGGCAAAAATGATTCATCAGGCAAGACTGCTAGGAATCCTCAAGTCTACTACGAAATGGGTTTGAAAAAGGGTGGGATAATTTAGGAATCCTAAAATGTTAGTCACTGCACCCTGATTATTTATTTGGACTTCCATCTAGAAATTACAAGTCCCAGATCGTCAGTTTAGTCTAATCAGATTATTCCTTAAAGTGAAAATATGTATTAATCTATTCTGAAGCTGCTACCTAAAAAAAGAAATTTGTTGGTTGAGAAAACTTCCTTTCAGCTTTACTTCGGCAATAATACCTTGAAAATAAAATAATACTGGAATTCATTTCAACAATATCCCAAGTTATGAAGGAAAATGATGACGCTAATGTTCGCGTGGTAAATGTCACACACATTCTAAACTATAGTGAGGCTCCAGTGTTATCTACATTGCCTTTGCCGCTAAAGCATTAAAAATAAGAATTTGCAGGGCCATTTTCTTCCCTACAAGCAATTTCTATGTTTGTGTTAGTAATGAACCACACACTAACAACCTGAAATATTTAAATCTTCCAAGATATCAATTTCCCAAAGTATTAATTTTTTTTCCCCCAAAAGTCTAGCAAACGTGCAACGGCAGAGGTGTTAGAGGAGGCAAAGCTGTAAGTGTGCACACAGTTTCCATTCTGTTGGTCTCGGGCTGCTAAGCTGGGCCATAGCAGGACACAGTGGCAGTGACAGGTGATACCTGGTCATGGCTGGCTTCAATGGAGCTTCCAACAGCATGGAAAGTCATCTGCACACGGGCTAGTGTCAGACAGGTCACACACTCTTTGCCATTTTGTCTATCACAGTAGTGAACCTATAATAGAACACACACAGGCTGCTGAGCGTCACTGTATGGAGGGAGGCAGATGGAACAGGTCTGCTTCACAGGATCTACAGGCCGAGGAAGAGTCAAATCACTGAGGCAGAACATACTTCGAATACTGAAAACCTTCTCAGGATCTAACAGCGACATGGATATCTGTTAACTCCATTTCAAGTACTTTTGGAAGTTTCGAAAAGTTTAGGGAACGTTTTGTAGGGCAAGGGGCTTAGCACAGAGTTCGGGGTGGGGAGGGGAAGCACAGGAAGCACGGCTGGAAGGCTCCAAGTTCTGTCTCCGATGGGCATGCCCACACCTCTGACCACACTGCCTGGTGTGAACCCGGGGGCCCTGAGCACGCTTGAGTGGGGTCCTCACGATAATAAAAGGGAGAGAGGAAATGCTTTACAGAGTTTGATTGTTCCATACAATCACAGCCAATAAAAATAAGAGTCTCGACCATGCTACCCCTTTTGTTAAAGTCCAGTTCTTCATGAAGCATCACTATGTGTAAAGGAAAGTATGGAAAGCCTAGGCTAACATTCATTTGGTTCTAATGACATTTCATCAACATGAATTTTCTCATCTCTGACTATATGTGTGTGTGACAAGCCCTTCACTGACTCGCAGTGATATTCTTCGACTGCATTCCATTTCTGCACTGCAGTTCTATAAAACCACTGTCCAAGACATATCACTATATCATGCTGGGCTTGAAACTTTGACAGCAATCAAATGGAATTAAACCAAAATGATTTGTAATGTGCAGACCAAAATAACGTTACTATTATTTTTCTTTTGATTAACTAAAACCAATCATTATTAAAACCACATGTAAGATTCTCCATATCAGGGCAGGGCCTGTGGGCTAAGGGAGAGTGAGTCCCTCATCTCACAGGGGAAATTTCCATTCTCTCATTTATCTACTGTTAAAACACATTCTTTCAGGCAGTGTTTATTTTTATCATAAGCTAATACATTAAAAATAGCACTATTTTGGTGATTAATAATAATGTTTCTATATGGTGTGGCTATCACTGGAAATGACTACAAATCCTAATTTTAATAATTTTATTTAATAATTAAACATTGATAATTTAATAATCTGTTAATAATTCAACTGTTCTGTGGCCAGAGAGATAGTACAGCAGGTATGGCATTTGTCTTACACACAGCCAACTCAGGTTCAATCCCCAGAACCCCAAGTAGTTCCCCAAATTTGCCAGGAGTGATCCTCAGCATGGAGCCAGGATTAAGTAAGTCCTGAGCACTGCCGGGAGTGGCCCCCAAAATTAAAAAAGAATTCAACTGTTTTACAAGAGTTCGGAGATGAGTCAAAGAGCTGGAGAGAATACTTTGCATAAGAGTTCAATCCTCAGCACCACACAGTTCCCTGAGCATGGCTGGGAGGGAAAACTCTTGAGCACTGTGCCAAGAATACTCCTTCATCCCACAAGGAGTGGCACAAAAACAAACAAAAAGACTATCCAGTTCCTGAAAGTCAAACAAAGTAACACTGTAAAACACTGTTTCCAAAGTCCTTTAGAGACTCTGCTATAAAAGTATTTGTTTTTTACCAGTTAATGTAGCATAGGGAGAAGAGACTTGAGGATGTTCTAAATCAGCACACTGTGCCTACGGAGCAATTAAAAGGGCACTCGGCATATGTGAGTGCAAGAGCGATATTTACCATACATCAGCAGAATGTGACGGGGGAAATAAAACTTATCACATAACAGGTTTATGCAAAAGCCAATAAATGGTGACACTGTAATAGCTCCAGTTCATAACCATTTATGGTACATTAAGATATTATGTCTGATATAGTACGAACATAAAGCATGCTGTTTAGAATAAAATAAAGTCAACCTTTGACATCAATTGGAAGTGTAGGCAATAAAGAAGACTCCTTTAAATACCCAAATTAATACTGAACAGACATATATCAGTCAATGTGTTCTAGAGAAACAAAAAGAACAAAAATACCATGCCAGTAAAACAAAAAGTAAATAAATAAAAAGCTCCAAATTTCATTTTACCTCAGCAATGACTTAATTTTTCTCCTACCTATATTTCACTTTGACCATACAAGTACCCTATAAGTCCTTTAATACTGGCACACACAGGTAACTCACAAACGAAAGATAAATGCAATGGTGCACGCCACACAACATTAAAAGAAAAGGTCACAGTATCAAGAGAACGTGACAGAGATTGTTAACTGGCTCCGATATCTTTCTCGAACATTTCTTTCTCCTTTTGGTTGTGTTTTTTGGTCTTTGGCCACAAAAAAAGCAATGCTCAGGGATTACTCCTGTCTTTGTGCTCAAAAATTACTCCTAGAGCTGCTCACAGGACCCCTTGGGATGCCTGTGACAGAATGCAGGTCATCCATATGAAAGGCAAATGCCCTATTCCCTGTACTATCACTCTAGCTCTCTTCCCTAACATTTCTTGGCTAGAAATTCAGAAACATGAAGACAACGCAAAAGCCCCCTTGTAGGGAGGTCTAGTTTATATGACCAAGTTGGGCAATGGGAGAGTTCTATGACAGCTTTCTGAAACCATTTTTAGGAGACTTCAGTTAAGTCTTGCTCTTCTTTGCCTATTCTGCCACTTGCTGTCTGGAATGTGACCGTGATCAATTTTGATCATGAGGACAAACGGCCAACTTGACAATAATGAGCAGGCTAGAATCTGGGTCCTTCCAGGCGTCATGGAACAGAACCAGTACATGAGTCTGAGACTGCAAAGCTTATGATTTTTACATAACAGAAGAATAAACATCTATTTTGTTCAAGTCGCTGGGATTTTTATCACTCAGGAAATAAAGCGATCTCTGTGGGATTATTTCCTATTGCCCCAGAATTCGTGCCAGCACCCACAGCCAACAACAAAAGGAGCTCTGAGGGGCTGCCAACATTTAGGACTAGGCCTTAAGTCCTTCACCCACCGCCAGTAACTGCCAACAGAACTGGGACACACGGAAAGAAAAGATAAAGAGGAACTAGGAAGAACAGGGAAGAGGTGAAGGCGAGGGGGTATTTCTGGTGGTCAATCTGACATGGAACACAGAATTTTCAGTGACTGGAAAACTTTAAGAAACCATATGACAGAGGGATTTGGGAGTCCCCACAGGCGAGTCTGGCATTTCATCCCCTGGCAGTGTGCTTGCTGGAAATGGACCTACAGGCCTTCTTTGAAATCTCAACCGAAGTTTAGCGTTTGTCCCTCACTGTTCAGAGATATCTGAGAGCTGTTGAAAGGACCCTCAGAACATACTGAACTTACCTGTAAACCAAACAGGACGGAAGAGGCACAGTCTAGATCTCTGTGGGCCTTAGAGAAAGGGAATCGATCTCAGCTTAAGTCGAGGGGTTGCTAAAACTAACCAACAGTGCAGGACGAGGGAATGAACCGTTGATACTATCTAAAGGAAATACTGATGCCATCGGGAACTGAAGGAACTGGGAGAAAGCAAACCACCTCATGAAACTCATGAACATCATTCAGTATATGGAAGCAAGAGTGGCTAAAACAGGTGTAAGAGTGGTGTCTCCCCCTACTCCGAGTCTCCAAACTCCAGGGGAGAGAGGCCAACCAGGGCACAGAAGTAGAGTTCAGGGTCTGAAGGCTTGGCAACAGATCAAGCTTCTAAGCACAAGCAGACAAAGATGCAAGAGGAAGAGGGTGAGAAAGAGAAATGAACCACACCTTCCGTCTTCCAAGTGTTCCAGCCAAAATGACTGGCCTGCAATGGGGAGCTTGGAATTTCATAGTGAAGTGACTAAATGTTTAAAACTAAAGATAATCAGCCCAGCGCCATCTTACAGCACACAGCAACAAAGAAGAAAACCGGCTGGAGGGCCCCACAGCTCCTAGAGAATGCTCCGGGCCCCAAACAGAGCTGATATCACCGGGAGGTCCCAGATGGGGTAGGTGCTGCCGTCCCACCTTCTCCAGATGGAATCCCGGTGACCATGAGCTTCTACAAGCATGGCTCTGGCATGCGGGTACCAGGACATTTTTTCCGAACCGCGTGGCTGCAACCGCCGAGGTTTTCCTTATATGCAGAGTGATCAATGGAAAGTAAATCATCCAAAATTTCTTCCTGAAAATCGGGCTTGAATGGTGGTGGAAAATCTGAGCAAAAAATAATGCCCAACCAAAATGCATCTGGATGGAGTATTTAACTATGGTGCTATGCCAACCTCAGAGGGGAAGGGTGTCTGTCCATCCGCCTGTCCCCCTCTGTGGTGGCAACATGGTGTCCTGCATTTTTTAGAGCCTAGCACAGCGGTAGGGCATTTGCCTTGCATGCAGCCAACATGGCCGACCCGAGTTCGATTCCTCCGCCCCTCTCGGAGAGCCCGGCAAGCTACCGAGAGTATCTCGCCTGCACAGCAGAGTCTGGCAAGCTCCCCGTGATGTATTCGATATGCCAGACACAGTAACAACAAAGTCTCCAATGGAGACGTTACTGGGCCCGTTCGAGCAAATCGATGATCAACGGGAGGGCCTTTACTTTACTTTACTTTAATGAACAGCCAGGTCTGAATGTTGGGGAAAATCCCAAATAACAGAGGTGGGTCTTTTGTCATAATATTGAATGTGATCAACATAGAAAGAGAGAGAGAGAGAGAGAGAGAGAGAGAGAGAGAGAGTGTAAAGTGGAAATCTGCCACACAGGTGGGAGGTGGGGGGGGTATACTGGGGTTCTTAGTGGTGGAGAATGTGCACTGGTAAAGGGACAGGTGTCTGATCATTGTATGACCAACTGAGATTTGAACTGAAAGGCTTTGTTACTGCTCTCACGGTGATTCAACAAATAAATAATATATATATATATAAAAAAACCTAAAGATAACCAGAAAAAATGGGATTTGACAAACATCAGAAACACAAATGGGACATTAGAGCATGAAGCAACATGGTGATAAAGAGTATAAATCACTTTGGGTTTATACCTCACATCACTTTGGGTTTATACCTCA